TGCAAACAACGAACGATCAAATCAAATTAAGTAGATTTACATTAGGATAATTCATGGAAATGAAATGTAAATTCTCACCACATTTCTATTCATTAGCACTTTCAATTTATTATATGCAATATCAGAGCACACTCCAGCACTCAGACTGTGAATTTTGTTGAACAGATTGAGCTAAGATATTACTGGAACATCAAGAAAATTTTCTGTTTTCTATCGTCAACAATTACTAGCCTCATATAATTATATTTAATATTGAAAATGAGCTCGAATTCACGAAAAGTTTGCTTAAACTGTTATGTAAAACCAATACTGAACTTTTCATTAATATTCGGTTTGAAACTTGTAATTCCTTGCAATTGCGAAAAAAAATCCAGTTTTTCCCGTATTCGAAAATTATTGAAAAGATGATATTTTAGTATTATCGAGTTTGGAATGTGGATTCAATTTTTTACGTGGGAAAATGTGCCGTTTCTAAAGCAAACTGCTCTTTGCATTGGAATGTATTCGTTAGTTAAAAATTCGGTGAATTTGGTGAAGATTGTGATGTTAATTATAGCATTTGTTTCTGCTTTATCAGTTAGTTTCATAAAACGCAATAAAATGTCTTTACATATTTTTTTAAAAAATGATATTTTCGAAAGTATAATGGTACACAAAGCAGTTAAGGTTATTTCTGTTTTAATATCACTCATTCTTATTATAATAATCTCTTGTGCAACAATACATAATAGCGTCGTTTTATATGCATTATGGCACAATGCAAGACATTTTGAATACGAAGCGTTATTCTGCAGCATCAAGTATGCGTTATGGATCAATTATATATTTGGAAGAATCGCTTTTATTCTACTGTTTTCTGGGGTAATTGTACTTGTGGCAATATTAGAATTCCAACATCTGTCAAAAGAATTGATGTCACTGAAAAGAAAAGAATTTAATCTAATATTGGAGCTGAAAAATTTCATAAAGCATCACGAAGAATTGTGGAATTTCATTTCACAATTGAACAATAAAATGAATTTTGGGTTTGTCATTATATACGGAAGTCTTGTATCAGGAACCAGTTTCTGCTATTACATGTACNCTCTGATCGCCCCGTTACGCGACCGCTCGTGTGACCTAAATAACGCGGCTTCCGTGTCCGCCGAGACGCGGTGGTGTCATCCTGACAGGGCACCAAAGAGGTGCCGACCCTTCGGTCACATATTACTGTGTTAGATGTCAAGTAATAAAGTTCTTGACATATTTGTCTGGATTCATCTAGACTTTCTATTCATGTACAAATGTCTGTCTTTAAGTTTTGAACACTTTTGTAGAAGAAAGCAAAAATGGTATAGCAAGCACTAGAGAAGGTGTTTTAACAATATATTGTTACAGTATTTAATTCTTCAAAATTCTAAAGTAACCATATTTTATATATATATTATGATATACCATATATATACTATATATCCAAAATATACTATTCAATATTTGAAATTATGGATGAGCTAAATTGCAAATTTTGTTCCAGAAAAACCAAATGAACCAAAATGTCTATAATATGTTTTTAATAAATGCCTTGATGAATAATGAACAAAACTAATTGAAAAATGATTTTTGTAACAATCATCATCTTGCAGAATAGTTTGATTTTTCTGCAAATTGATCAGTTATACTGGAAAAATTGTTCATATTTAAATTTCAATAAAATTCTTCAATAAAAGCAACAATTTAGTGATATATCTTTAGAATCTAAGATTGGCTTTAGTACAGTAATTTCAATATAAGCAAGAAGTGATGTAACATTTTCAGAGCTGTTTATCAAATAAAATCACTATATAAATTAGTATGCTTGTAATGAGCATGTTTAAAAATTTGTTTTGATAATGCAGACTGACAAGGCCAGAAAGGAATACGTGGTGTGGCTAGAAAATAATGAGACTGTAATTTCCTGCATGCACAGTCACACATGGGCCAAAGTGAGTGGGTGGGTAAGTGACTTTGAACAAGCTAGAATAAGCACGGCAAGTCTCAACTAATACCGCTGTTAAGATTTCTGCGAGTGGATGTGTTGTTAGCATGCATCAGTAAAATGGCCAGCTTAAAAGAGAAGCAGCATGCCGACCTGAAATTTTTGGTGAAATTGAAAAAACTGCCACTGAATCTTTGCACCTGCTACGTGAAGTATACAGAAATGCACATCTTTCTCGTGCATATGTGGTTGAATCACACAGAAGACTTTCTGAGGGCCGAGAGGATGTGAAAAACTATGAACATTCTGGATGGCCCAGTACATCAAAAATTGAGGAAATCATGCAAAAAGTGGAACAAATTGTTCAAAGACTGAACATAAGAATGATTGCAGATATGGCACACATGGATAAGGAGAGTGTCAAGTTCAGTTTTTCATGCAAAATCTGCCTCACAAAGATGTGTGCTAAGGTTGTCCCACAGCTGTTATCTACAGAGCAGAAAGAGAATCACAAGCAAATTTGTTTTGACATTTTGGCTTAAACTGAAGAGATGCTAAACTTTCTGGACAACATCATAACTTGGGATGAAACTTGGATATTCCAGTATGATCCTGAAACAAAATGTCAATCCATGCACCAGAAGACACCACAGTCATCAAGGATAAAAAAGCATGACAAAGCAAGTCCAAGTTTAAGGCCATGCTCATTGTGTTCTTCGACATTAAGAATGTAATTTTGGAGCACTAGGTTCCAGAAGGTACACACAGTGAACCAATACTGCTACAAAAAAGTTCTGGAATCTTTGCAGGAAAGGGTCAGAAGAAAGTGACAACACTTGTGGAAAAATGATTCATCCTCCCTCAGGACAATGCACTAGTCCATTCCGCTCTGTCAGTGAAGCAGTTTTTGGCCAAGAAGAGAGTCACACTACTTGAACACCCACCATACTTGCCTGACTAGCTCAGTGTGACAACTACCTTTTCCCTAAAGTCAAGTCTGCTCTGAAGGGACACTGTTTTGACTCAGTTTCTGCTGTCAAGAAAAAAATGATGGAGCTTCTGTATAGCCTTACAGAAGATGACCTGCAGCACTGTGTGGAAGTAGAAGGATCATACATTGAAGGGGAACACAAGTGAGTATAGTACTCAACGTTTAAGTTTCCAGCCACACCTCGTATGTGCAGTGTTGACTTAACTTGATAAATAATGTACTTTTAATGATGTTCTGAGTATATCTCAAGAATAAAACCTAATAAAAAGATCAGACAAAAAATTAACACACGTAAACTGGAAAGATATACTACACACAACACTTAACACCTCAATACTACTTCCAGCAGTCAAAAGATTTTAATATTCTAACGTTTTCGGCCGTCTTTTAGAGGCCCTCTTCAGGATGAAACATTAAAAAACATTACAAAAAACTGCTATACATTAAAAAATATTTAATGTATAGCAGTGTTTACATAGCGCTAATTTTCACAACTCTACAATAATAATTTATGTATAGCGTTATTTTAAAATAATTTTTTGTCTTGTAAGCGTAACGATTTTTATATCTTACGCATCGTTTAAATATTTAAAAGTTCGGAACACAGCTGTATTCGATTATTAGAATCCTTCAAAAGATAGAACTGTTTTTTAATGTTTCATCCTGAAGAGGGCCTCTAAAAGACGGCCGAAAACGTTAGAATATTAAAATCTTTTGACTGCTGGAAGTAGTATTGAGGTGTTAAGTGTTGTGTGTACTAATAAAAAGATTTTAAAATGTCACAAAATGTTGTTATTTATACATTACACATACACAAAAGTAAAAATGTGGATTTTTCTTGATGCTATTGCCTGTTTGATTAGGATTAAATATGCATTTTGGATAATCCAGATACTTGTTTGTTTTTTACATTTTTGATACATCAAGTACTGTACCGTATATTTAAAGTTTCATGAACTATAAATAATGTAATACAATTATTGTATTTGAAAGTAAATTAATTTACTCAAAATCTAATATAATGCTTATATATTATATCTAATATAAATAACCACTATTTAATTGGAAAAACAATCAACTTTCTTAAAATACCTAAATTCCAGCAGTAATGTGTAATAACTTAATTAACACTGGATGGAGGCATAAGAACTCCAAAAATGTTCATTCTAGTGCTAATATTACATGTTACTGCTGAAGTTTGGTTATTTTAAGTAAGTTTATATATTATATGGTCTAGTTTTGTAGTGCTACAATCAACAAATGAAAATGATTAAATTCTTCATGTAACTGGAAATCACTATATCATTTTAATCTGTGGTATGTGCAATACTACTAGTTTTTACTTTAATTGAGTTTCTGGTATATTGTGTATGTATAAATATGATATTTATGTATAATTAGGCCACATAAAGGAAAATAGAGCATATTTACCTATTTTATTAATAATATATATATGACATTTATAATTAAAGTTGTCACCTTTTAAAGGAAAATAGAACATAAGAGTTATTATCAAACATCAAATAGTGAAGTACAGATAATTCACTATGTTTATAAAAAAAATTCTTACAAAATGTTAAATTAAATTCCGATAATTCTATAATATCAATCGAAAGATGATAAACTAGCTTTTACACATCTTAAAAGAGAATTAATAGATATCATATACAAACTATTAATGTGAAATGAAAAATAACACTATGACAAAAATATTCATAAATTTTAATTTCATTTCGATTCTTTATTCAACTCGATTCATATTTGTATTTGTCTACACACAATTTTAATATACTTATTTTCATAGTTAATATAAAAATAGGAAGTTTGATGTAGAATTAATTTAGCACAATTTATGTTATTTCATTTTTAATTATTTAGTTTCATTCATACTGTATGTTTTAACTATTGCTCTTACCCACAATATATAACTGTTCTATTTTTAATAAAATTGCAAATAAAAACTTATTAAATTAACCTTAATTATTTATACATTCACATTTAATAAAAAAAACTAGTATATTAAACTGAAATATAAATAAATAGATTTATTTAGAATTATATACTGTAGAACTTACGAGGTGTTTGATATAAATTTGTTCCTGTATGTAGAGGCACAGACGATGTTTCCATGATATGAGAATAAGCATCATCATCTTCTTCCTAATTCAAAATATTAAAAAAATTAAAATATATTGTTAGTTATATTTATAATGTATTATATATATTATAAAACATAGGCTCTAAAATGAATTTTTAAAATGAAAAAGTTTGATATGAACATCACCAGTTGCACATATCAAATCAATATTTAATTTTTATTTTACATATGCTTTTATATATTGGCTCTTTATTTAATTTTTGATAAGTGTTTTGAAATAAATAACCAAATGTTTCTAATGAGACAAAAACAAAACTTTAATATAGTTCCAAAATATGATGATAATGATTATTATTTTTATGAATTGAAATAAATATATATATATATATATATCTATATATATATATATTCAGATATATATATATATATCTGAATTACTTTTGATGCCAATACTCATGAGATAAAATAATCACGAGACAAAACAGGTAATATTTACTAATTACTTTGAGTATGTAGAAACCTTCTTCAGAACTTGTTATATAGAAACCTTGACTCTGACATGTGTTGTCTAACCCCTGAAGTGTTTAAAATAAACACTGTCAAACAAATCCCTGGCATTACATAAATATAACAATATTTAATGTATCTAAAATCCAAAATTACTTTTATATATATTCTTAAATTTTTCTTAATTTTAAATTAGATTTTTTTAATTTGAATAGAACCAATTAGATATTAATACTTAGGTAAAGTATTTTAAAGAATAAAAGAGAGAAAATTTCCTAATAAACATTTATTTTTATTTAATATTAAATTATATATATCAGGAAACTGAATTATTAAATGGATGATTTAAAAATCAATTAAATTTCATTAAAATTATTTTATTCACTTACTCTTTGAATTTACATTATTAATGAAATACTATAACTACAATAAACTGTACATATATATTACTTATATTTGTATTGTTCCAAAATCTAATAATTATATGATACCAAATTTATAAAAATTAGTTTTATGTATAATATAACCTTTGGTATAAAAATATATATACAGAGTTGCTTATGAATTTTTAAAGCCTCAAACCCTACAGTTGAGTCATTCACGTTTTTTTTTTTTTTTTTAATTACAGTATTCTGTATTTTGAATTATTCTGTATATAATAGTAGATTCATTTAAAAATAACTAACTAGAATTTTTAGTTTTGTTATTACATTATTTTCTATCAGATGAAATATGAACAGTTACATGTTAAATAAAAAATTAACCTGGTGTTTTTGATATAAAAATAAATCAGGGCAATTTGATTAATTCATAACTTTTTTTATATCAATGACTATCTGTAGTAATTATATGACTTTCTAATTACTTATGCTAAAAGTATATATTATCTAAAGTTAAATAACTACATTTATATATAAAAAATTCCATTTTTTTCAATATACTTACAAAGATTTTTTTCAAAAGTTTAACTTAATTTTTAAATAATTTTAATTAATGCTATAAATATTCTATTCTGTTTTTCATTTTCTTCAAAATTATTAATATAAATATTAGTTTGAATGTAAACTCAAAGAAATATAAGTAAATATATTATATTATAGAAAAGAAAAAATCAAGTAAATCTAAGTTCAACAAAATAAGAAATTTGAACTTTCATTTGAAAGGATTGGTACGTTCAGAAGAATTGCAGAGTAATGGACTTTTAATGTTTGAATTGACAGCAAACATTGACAGACAACAGAAAACTAACATGGTAAATCCTATTGATTGCTTATAAATTTGGATCAGTGCTATAAATTGAACAAGTTTTATTGAGGAAAAAAGTCAGTTCTTGGCAACTTCAAATGTTTAGACAAACAACTGACAAACAGAAAACATATTTGTTATATAAATCTAAAGAAGAAAGGAAAACATTTAGTTAAACTTAAGAAAAAAACTGAAAGAAACATTTTCCAAAACTACTTTCAAAACCAAAAATTATTAAAGCATATTTAGCTTATAAAAAAAATAATTTAAAATGAAAAAATATATATAAATTAAGTAGAAAATTGTTAATATTCTCAATTTAAACTTTACATTTTAGAAAGAAAACTTAAAAATTTAATTCACAAAATAATTATTTGGCTAGATTGGAATGACACATTTTTTCTTATTTCTTATTATAAAACTATTGTTTTCTTTCAAAAAAATCTAATTTTTGTAAATAATATTTTATTGTAGAATCAAATACATTTTTTCTATAATCAAATCTGTCTTTCATAAATCAGCATGAACTTCTATTTAAAAATAAATAAATAATAATTTATTATCTATATTATAGAAACATTTCTACTCCTGATGATTTCTATTAGAAGAGAATTTAGGAAAAAAAATCAACTTTATATTAATAATTTTGTTTTTATGAGCATATTAGAAGTTCATTCTGAATTTTCTGATTAAGGATTGTATCTTCATCTGGAAAATTTTTTTAATAAAATTCTGTAATAATTTTGCGTATATAAATTATAATGTATTAGAAGTTTATTAAACTTTATGCCTTTTTTATAATTTTTCTACATAAATATACTTTTTAAATTTCTAATTAATATAGTTTTCTGAGGAAGGTTTTGAAAATAAAAACGAACACACAAAACTCTAATATGAATAATTTTAATCTAATATTTTTAAGCAATATAGATTAAAAAAGAGCATATTTTTTATTATTGAAACTTAAATATTAACTGCTACTGCTTCTAACTACATTATTATTATTATTATTATTATTATATATTGAATTATTTTTTTATACCCATTTTGGAGGATATGGCACATCATAAATGTGTTCGTGTCGTCCTAATGTTCTCTGTAGACTTGGTCCACCTTCTGAATCAGGAGAATGTTGTTTATGATACATTGGCACTCTACTCATTGCATATGGGGATGGATAATATAACTGATCTTTTGTTGGACTACCACTTCCTGTACTGCCAGTATGTTTTCTATCAAGGACAGACATGCTCATTCCCTCCATTCCTTTCTCTTCACGTAGTCTTGAGTCTGAGATATAACAATGGTAATTCTGAGATATAAATATATAAATATATTTTAAAATAATAATTTTTTTTAATAATTCTATTTTAATTATAGAATTGAAAAAAGTATACAGTTCAAATTAATATATTAAGATACAAAGATTAATAATTTCAATGTATAAAAGGCCTACATCATATTGGAGATGTTAGTGAAGAAAATTAAGGGCTTTGGATATGAAAAGTTCAAATAAATAATCACAAAATATTCAAAGAAACAATGTATAAAGGCAACTCTACACAAAACAGGATATTTGTATAGTAAATTCCAATATATATATGTATAACATCTTCAAATCATTATATCCAATTTCTACTGTAGTAGTTAAACTACAAAAATAATTTTGCTCTAGTGCTATTCTGTTTGTTGCTATGCTTTCTTTATAATAGAATCACTGTTTAAAAAAATTATTACATTTTATGCATTACATCATGTATTCTGTTAAAAAGATTACTTGTTCAACACAAAATACCCAAATTGTTATTAGAACACTCAACCTATTGTCCAAATTCCAGATAATACTATTATGGAACATATTGTATCCACAACAAGAAACCTAGCACTTCACTTAGCAGAACATTAACATTCCATGCAATCCCTGCATACAATCAAATAAAAAAGATTGGAGCTGGCAAAAATAGTGTTAGATAATAACATTGTCTCCACATGGAATGATATCAAGTAATTAAATCACTCACATATCTGAAAATAAGTTTTATCTGGGAAACACCTCATGAAACAAAACCAGTTAATCAACCAATACTTACGATTCCAGATCATTGAGTATTTCTTGAAAATAAATCTAATGATTAATAGACTATTTGACCATCTTATTACCATAAGTTCATTTTCAAAATTTTTAATAATTCATATTCAGTCCTCCTTCAACACTATTTCTAAACTATTTTTGCAAAAATTGAATACAGTTGACCTCCTATAACACTGTTGATAATTCCGTTTTATATGAATTCCATGTTGTACAAGTCACTTAGATTTTGCAAAATCTAAGTGACTCGTACAACATGGAATTTATATAAAACGGAATTATCAACAGTGTTATAGGGAGGTCGATTGTATTTAAATTTTTGTTCTATTTACAATGCTATTTGTCCTGAACTTTGAATTATTCTGTATATAATAGTAGATTCATTTAAAAATAACTAACTGAAATTTTTAGTTTTGTTATTACATTATTTTCTATCAGATGAAATATGAACAGAAGTTTGTAAGTTGAAAATGTTAGAATTCTATGCTTTTTTTTTATATTTTGTGATTATTTATACAAACTTATCACAGTCAAAAATCTGAATTTCTTCCACTGATTAGCTGATAAATGATTAATCTTGACTGTTTATATATAAATTAACAAAATAGTAGTTATCATATTTAAATCAATTCTCATTATAAATCTTACTAATTTATATGAGAAGTATTTATCATTAAAAATCTTTTTACAGAGATTTTATTATTATATAACTGTTCACACACGATTGAGTCTGTTGTTAAAAACAAACAAAAATAATTTTTTAATACTAATAATCAAACTCTTCAAATTAAAGAAAACATTAAAACTTGATAAAAATTTTCAAAAATAATTCTTGTAAACCATCCTTTCTATGAAAAGGAAATACTGCAAATTGGATTATGAGAGATTAGAAAAACCCCTTGGCAAATTAGCTGGAGGGATGTGTAAATGACTTGTTGAACTAGATAGTTAAAAGGTAGGAGTGATTCGGGTGCTAGCAAACAAAAGACTATAGCCTCTGTTGGTTACTGTGTATCAAATGCTTTATAATATATTCAGATTTATATATTACAAAGTATTTGATAAACAAGTTTAATATACTAAGTTTAAATTACTGTGTTTGTTTTTGAATTGGCATATTACAATTCTCATCTTTAGATAGCAAGATTAATGAATATTCAAATAGATCTTGTGCACCAATAATTTTTGAAACATTCTAATGTCATTGACAGAAATTACAAACTTGGAAAACATTTATTTAGAAAAAAACCAAGCCTTTAAAAACAGATTAAAATACGTAACCTATTTCTTTATTTTAATAAAACAAATGCCCATATCTATATCCATAAATTTACTGTGGCATATACACTAAACACACCTTACAGACATTTCCAGTATTTAAATTTAATCAAAACAAACATTTTCATCCCAACTGATAAGCCTTCTTCAGGTTACAGAACCCAGGTAACATGATGAATATGGTTTATGGTAATCATTCTTGCCCAATATGCAAGCAAATCCAGGTAGTCAGCAGATTTCAACAGTACCCAACTTAAAAAACACATATATAATGAACATAATTCATTATGTTCATATATATATATTATATTCACATATATATGAACATAATTCATTATGTTCATATAGGAGAACACGAGTGGCATTCAAGAAGGGAAGATGTGATAAATTGTGCTCTGTGGAATTTTTGTGATTGTGCCAGTAGCATTAATCGCATTACAACTTTGAGAATACTATTGTAATCTACTCTGGATCCTGGTTTGTTTGACATATATATTGTTACAGTATGCTAATTGGGAAATAGTTAATTAACTTTTAATTTCGTAAAATTCTTACGTGGGGCTAAATCTCTGGGGCGGCACCAGGGGGTTAGTTAGAAGTTAGCTTACTTGTTAGTCAATAAAAGGGGGTAGCAATACGTTTAATATTAATCAAATTATAAGGGTTTAAGATTTTACAGTAGGGATTAATTGAAAAATTTTAAATTTTGGACGGTTATAATGGACTTTAACGGTCTTCTAGCGTTTTTTTTAGCAAAATTTTTAATGGATGTAATGGCTATTCTATATTAATCATTGCAACTACAACTTTTATTTTGATGCTCAAGGAATTAATTGTAAAAATAGATTTAACATAATTCATAGTATAACAGTATTGATTATTTTACCAATGCTTTTAATAACTTTCGTCACTTTATCAAATTTGAATGTAATATCTTTACTCTTTCAGTTTAACCATCACGTTATTAAGTTTTGGTCAATATAATAGTAAGTTTCATATATTATTGGTGTATATTTATTTTACACCAGCACATCTAGGTGGGATTTAGACGTGTTACATTTCAAAATTGTTAGGATAATAAATTACGAGGGGTTGCGGGGGAGACGAGGAGAACAAGGAAGAGAGTAGAGCAAGGGGAGAAGTGAGGCAGTATGATAGCTGGTGACGGCGCAAAAGACAAAAAGGTCAAATAGACATCACAAAGGTGAGAACATTTTCATCCCATCAAGACGGTTATGTACAGTACATATATAGAAATTGGACTGCTTTTCTTTTGGCAATGGATCATATTCAGTATCCATCAGATAGACTGCAGCCAACTGACAAACTGCTATTGAATGAGGAGCTACAGTCTCCGCCCCCAACACCACAAGATTCACCTAAACTAGACAACAGGAAGGCAAAAGAGAATATAGAAGAGTTAATATTGAGAGAAGCCAGACATTTATTGAATCGAGTAATGAAAATATGTCCTGAACTAGGTAATAACTTCGTTTGCAAAAAGAAGAGAGTAGAAATTAGAGAAAGTGCTGCACGAATATTTGGATGCTTAAATCAAGCATATGGTATTATCAGAGAACTTAGAGCCACCAAAAATGAAATAAATCATAACGAAAAGTACAAGCCCCGTTTATACTCAGAGGTGGTTAGCACCGGATCTGGGAAAAGTAGAACTACAAAGACAATTTATAATTCATTGAATACAAAGGTTAACAACGAGGGAATGGGAGGGAATCAGGCAGTCTTAGTATATCCAAACAATGAAGAAGGCCTGAACATCAATATGAAAGAGGTAACAAATGAGATACTCAATAAAATAGAACCCCAACTAAAAATAAAAGTAAAAAATGTCAAAACAATTAAAGCAAATGGTATATGTATTAGGGTAGGAAGTATGGAAGATGGAAAAAAACTTAAAAAAGCAATTGAGGACCTTCCAGAAATCAGAGATAGAGTCAAATGTAAAATATCTGAAGGGAAAAGACCAAGAGTTATCCTCTTAAATATCCCTAACAGCATCACGGATGAAAAACTAATAGAGGTAATGATAGAAAAGAACAACATATGGAAGGAAATGGATAGCAACAGTGTCAGAGATGCATGCAGAATCAGTACAATATTAAGGAGAGGAAAAGCAAAGGAAAATTGTCGACACGCCGTTTTATCAGTAACACTGAAAATCCGCAATATCTTAATAGCTCATCGGCATATCTCCATGTCGTGGGCTAATATACATGTTGATGATTTTATACCAATCATGCGATGCTATCAATGTTGTGGATTCAACCACCTTGCGCGATTGCACAGAAGAACAAAAATGCAGTCATTGTTCTAAGGGCCACCGATATAAGGATTGTCAACTATTGAACACAATACCATTTTGCATAAATTGCAAAAAAGCTAATAGGAACCTACCGCCAGATAGAAAAAGGTCAACAAATCACAACGCACTCAGTAGCCAATGTCCAATATTAGCAAAGTTGAAGATTCAAATGATTGACAAAACTGACTATGGACTGTAATCATACTCTAAACAACACTCCGACTAACACATATCATAATAGGCAAGAGAAAGACCATCACAACAATTCTGATGTAGGCCTTAATATTTTACATATTAACGCACAAAGAGGGAAAGCTTCAAGCTCTTTAATGATGCATAAAGCTAATGAGATTGAAGCTGATCTGATTTTAATTCAAGAGCCATATACAGTAAAAAACTCAATAGTAAGGCTTGGAAATTGGCAAATCCTTTATAAAAATAATGGCGGTACTCCAAAAAGCTGTATAGGGGTGAACAATAATTTGATAGATATAGCACTGATTCCACACCTTTCTTCTGAGATAATTACAACAGCTATAATACATCGCAACCCTCCTTTATATGTAATAAACGCCTACATATCGCCATATATGAACGATG